CAGCCACATCAACTGCAATGACTCGAACCACACCACCTCTGGCTGCTACGCGACTCCATTGGTAGTTGAGTAGCGTGAGTATGTCCTGGGTGCCGAGTTGGCCGCGGAAGCCATACTGACTTTTCGATAAGATGTTATGTGCCTCCAGGAACTGTCGGATCGAGTGGTTGATAATGGCCTCCATGACTTTCGACAGAATAGAGAGGAGGGAGATCGGGCGGTAGTTCTTAACATCAGACTTGGATTTTTTCTTGTGCACCGGCACAACCATTGCCGTCTTCCACATTGTAGGTTGCCGACCTTGGTGGAAGGCCTGCGAAAAGAGCCACGACACTGGTACAGCCAGCTCTTTGCTGCATTGCCGGAGTACACGCCCGGGGATGCCGTCTGGACCCGTGGCTTTGGCGGGGTGGAGTTGCCTCAGCTTCCGCTCAACCGTGCTTGGCCGAAAGTGGACATTGCGGAGTTGGGCTTGAGATTGGGGGCGGACTGGAGGGAGGCTGTTGGCTTGCAAGTCGTTGTCACCAAGACTGCACTTTGCGGAGAAATACTGCCCAAATGCTTCGGCCTTTTCGCTGCAGGTGGTGTGCTCAGTTCCGTTCGACGCACACAGAACAGGTATGTCTGCAGAGCGGTGTCCTTGCCCACCTGCTCGCTTGACGGTTGTCCACCATTGTCGGCTGGAAAGGGCACCTTCTCTTATCTTTCGGCGGATACCGGTAGTGTGCGCTTGCTTGGCTCTGTGCAGACAGTTTGTTGCTTCACCTGCTGCCATAGAGTAGGCCAGCCGCAGGTGTGCATTGTTGGGCGAAGATCGGTGACGTCGCCAGGCACGTTGCTTCCTGTCAACAGCCTCCTGGCACTCAGGTGACCACCAGGCTGGGTCTCCCTGGCGTAGCTTCAGGGTTTTGGATGGAATGAATATCTGCATGCCCTCTTTGATCTTCTGTGTAAGTTTCACACAAGAGACGTCAATGCTGTTGTCATCAGTCAACACCCAGTTTGTGGACCGAAAGAAAGCCCGTAGCCGAGGCCAGTCAGCATGCTGGTAGTGCCACACGGTTCGCTTACTGGGACGGTCACAGGAGGGGGCAACTTCAAAGTCAGTTACCACAACTGCGTGGTCAGATTTCCCTAGAGGTGGATGGAGAGTTGAGATGACGCTTCCAGGGATATCTGACATTATGAGGTCGAGGATATTATTGCCACGTGTTGGCTCGTGGACATGCTGATCGACCAAAGAGACACAGGGTTATAGCTGCACACTTGTGCATGTGCTCGCTCAGCCCAAGAACACACGATCATGATGATAGAAATCCGGGGGAAACACGCTAACACCGAAGTAAGCATCAACACGTAAATAGTGCAGCTCTGAAAAAATTACATTGACATGAACATTGGTGTGTCGAGTAGTATCAGGCTTGAATAATCATCCAACCAAGACCTCATCAGGTCCCAGACGCTGAGATCGCACGCCGAATGTGAAGTGCATCTAGCCTTGAACCTGTCGCACAAGGCACACATATATGGCAAAATGACATCCACTCTGATTATTTCCAGAGGCCAATCATGACAGAACACAGAAATGAAACCACGGGCTCAACCAAGTAAACGCAAAGGAAGTTAGTCAAAATAATCCATGCAGTGCTCTTTTAATTGCAGCGCTGATTGCAGTGTTGCATCATAGCCCGATACCCGCTGAGCACAGACACAACTCCATTTGTCAGGGGCAAGACATACTCTTTTGGAATAAAGTCATAAAGTACAGCGTTCCAATGACATTACGGACACCTCGTGCAAATGCATAGTCTGTTCATCTGGCCGACTCGGCCACGCATGAGAGTGTGTGCATGTACATGCGCGCGCGCACAACACACACACACACCATGTATTCGGTGCGTATGGTGTACCAGTTGTAGGACAATGAAGATGGAATAATTATCATGATGTTACATGTACATCTACAGTGTATGTTTGAGTGTAAAGTAAATTTTATTTTATTGCACATTTCTTCGACCGTGACAACTAATTACTTACTTCACATGTTCGCATTTCTCATAATCGATCCACCTGCACTCCGTGTCAGTCGAGGAAAAATTCTCCCAGATATACACTAGTCACCACAGCCATGTGATGACATTGGGATGGGCCCCAAGCACGATTGCACTCTCTAGTTACAATAAATTTGGCCAGATTATCTGTGAAGACAAAATGCAATGCATAGCGGCAATCGATGGATGAAGAGAGAGTTTGTAAATACCCATATCTTTCCACTTGTTCAGGAGCTTACCTTTTGGAGTTCACATCGTTTACACGATCTCTCATGCTGTCTTGCACCTTGGTTTTGTTGACCATGGATGCGCCATCCCAGAAAACATTCTACAGGAGCTACTAATGCAGAGCGTTTTTCACGCTCGATCTCGGCGATCTACCTTGTCACGCCAATAAAATCCTCCGTGACACTGGCTACAGTCACAAGAGACGTCTCAGTAAGGTAATGAGCACGACAACATCGTCGAGATCAAGGACAAAGAGAAAACAAAACACTCACTGAAAACAGCAAAGAAGAAACGAAGAAATGTACACGATTCCTATATGTTGCCACTGACAACTGGGTCGGTGGAGACGACGCTACTTTTGTTTGTCCCCAGTGGGATCGTTGTTATGCGTATCGAAGGAACTGTGACGTCATCACTTAACAGCCCCATACCGAGCAAGCACTAGGCTTTTCCGGATTATGCGTTTTTTCTTGGTCTAAAATGGAAATGGAAAGTGTTTTGAAAAACCCCTATAAATCAAATTTTTTTCTAAAGAAAATGCAAAAATTTACCCAAAAAGCACAAAAAATGCCACCGTTGCCATAGTAACAAAATTGCGACAGCTAGTCGCGTGACATTTGGCACCATGGTGATCATTCATGGTGATCTTGAAGTACCTATCGCTTGCAGGGAGTCGTAAAATACCGGTATTTTACGACTCCCTGGCCCAAAGTGGGTCAAAATGGACAAAATGCATTTTGACCCCCAAAATGCAAAAATATGCAAACACATAATCCGGAAAGGCCTAGCAAGCACCTTACGTAGAATCTTACGTAGCCTTAAGCCCGATTCACAATACAACTTTCTGCGACGCGACACGCGATTTGCGACAGTTGCGACAAGAAACTGCCTGTCGCGAGCTGTCGCAAGCTGTCGCAAGCTGTCGCAATGCACCTGTCGCAGAAGTTGAAGAAAGTTCAACTTTTGCGACATGCGACACGCGACATAAACAAATGGAGTACAGTTAACTAGTTTCGACCCTGGGTGCACGTGCAGTGCACGTGCATAGTACTACTTGTGCATGATGATGTCGCAAACATGAAGAATATTGTGAACCGTGTGTCGCTGTCGCAGCTCGTCGCATGTGTCGCAAGTCGCATGTCGCGTCGCAGAAAGTTGTATTGTGAATCGGCCTTAAAGCGGGATTCACAGAAGCTTTTTTGCGATGCGACACGCGATGCGACAGACGCGAAACCGGAAAACCCCAAATCGCAGCCATGTCGCACCCCACGCAACTGCCGCAACTGGGCCATCGCAGGCCATCGCAGAAGTTGAGCTTGGCTCAACTTTTGCGATGCGATGCGATGCGACAAGCGATTTGGTGTACGATTTTGACCTTTTCTACAGCAAAGTTGTACAAAGGTGCAAGAGTTGCCTATAAATTTTTACAAGTTGTGTCAAACCGCGCGAATATCATGGTGACGTACCCAAATCAGCAAAACTTTGTCGCATCGCTGACTTCTTCTGTGAATGGTATTTCGCGAGTTCGCATCGCACGCATCCATCGCAGATCGCGTCGCATCGCGTGTCGCATCGCAAAAAAAGCTTCTGTGAATCCCGCTTAAGTGAAATACCGAGCACCTTACGTAGAAACTTACGTAGCATAGCGATGTCGTTTTTTCTGCCATGTGAACACAATAATAGAAAAGCTGACAGGATAGCTTTTCTAAATGTAATGTTTCATAGCCCGGAAGTTCCGGAAATCAGCCAAGTTTGCTTGATTTTTTTTTTTTTACCGCGCGAAATCTGCCACTGCACGGGCAACAGAACATAATGAGACTCGTGAAAAAAGAAAAAGGCCCAACCGGGGAGTCGTAAAATACCGGGAGGCGACACGCCACACATTTCACGATCCGAGGATTGCCGCACTCGACCCGCGAAATTTGAAGCGTGATTGAAACGTCGTCGTCATCTTCTTTTTCTCAATTGTTTTTGCTATATGCTTCGAGGCTATTCTGGATCTCCAGAGCGAAAGCTGGTTGTTTCTGATACGTACCACGCATTACCTTAGGTTGAGCCGTGGCTTTTAATTTTTTTTTGGAAGTTCACTGCTTTGGAGACGACGGAATGTCAAGGTAAGTTATTCACGAAATGTACTCAAATTTGAATTGAGTCAATGCGAATGACACCCTGTTTTCGGAATAGTTCTCCACTAAACACACCATGCCCATGGCCCCTTCATGTTGTCCAAGTTCCATTCTAGGTTTGTGTGAAGTTTCGAGATGAAGTTCGACGATGTACTCACTTTTCCATGGAAGGGAAAAAAAGTAGCATATCAAACAGAATCCATGCAGTATTTGATGCCACTATCCTCATTCTTCTGCATTCAAAGTGTTTCACATCTATATGGCCCATGAACTGCAAACAATATTTGTCATTCTTAACTGTTCATAGCTGTTCATAACTGTTCTGAACACATTGCCTTCAGGAAACGTAAGGCCGAGTCGCCTCACCGACTGAGCAAAGTTCTCTGCGACGAAAGTCACACTATCGGCGAATGCACTCAAGGTGAATACCCGTCAATATCCTGTATACTGCTTGTACCGCTTATCACAGTAGCATACACACAAGCACACATACATACACACACACACACACACACACACACACACACACACACACACACACACACACACACACACACATGCATGCTCGTGCACACACAAGCGCAAAATTCACATATCACTGGTTCAGTTGTTTTTATCTGTGTCGTATTTTGTCTTATACAGAGCTTGCATTGCACTCACGGCGTGTTGCTTGTGTGTGTTGAGCATGCTGGGGAACTGGGAATGGGTTATTAAATTAAGCTGGTGAAACAAGGAGCATGCAGCAGGCACAAGTACAAACGTATGCTTCTGCTCTTCATGCTGTGTTGCAGCTATGGGTGCTGCATAGCCATGGTCACGGAGCGGTTGGTCATTTCTGGGCAACGCTTGATGCTCAGATGTTTGGAGAATGGCTCCAAAATTCTCCAAACAAGGCTGAAGGCTTGTCACGGCATCCTTGCCAAATAAAGGTATAAGCTGCAGCAAGTTGTCGTTGCGACACCTTGCTCCTTCCAGCTCACGCCGCACGGCCACCAAGCACCAACCACCATGGTACTTTTCAGCAAGGTGAGACAAATTGTCAATCACCGGTTCGGGGATGGCTTCAGCAGCTTTGGATGGTGCTATTGACGCTTTCCTGATAGCAGCGGCAGCCGTGGCATGCAGGTAGCTTATCAGATTCGCTAGCACTGCAGATGTAACTTCCAAATCTGAAGAAGAGAAAAGAAAAAGACAACATATAAGGACTGGTGGTTGCAGAGACTGTACTAGTATTCAAAAGCCAGTGTTTGCATACCTAGTCTGCATACCTAGTCAGAAGCCAATTTTTTTCCAACATGCATGCAAAACGCACTGACCTTCACAATTGATTTTCACTTCGGGAATAGCTGTTGCGATGACGGACAGCATTTGTTGCCATGCTTGCGAAATATCAGCACCCTTGCATGCCTTCAGCTGGCACACTTCCTGGCATAGCAGATTTGCAGTACCTGATGCCTTGTGTAACCGTGTCGTAATAACATGCAGGAATGACTCCGTCGCCTCAGTAACACTCGCCTGTCTCATTGTCAGCAGTTTGCAAATTCCATGGATCACTGCACCTTCCATAGGCCTGTACACCATGATGGCACTACCACTCTTACATCGATCTGCACATAGACAAAGTATGGTTTGAGGATGGAGGTTTACATCATCTACGGTGATGATACATACTAGGTACACACGTAAATTTTCAGGACTTCAATAAATATCCTGTCACAGTGAACAGACAATGCATCGTGGGCAGACTAGGATGAAAAGGATGGTGTCGACCACCTAATTTATCGGATCAGTTCGGGCACTTAGGTATGCTACAGATTATACATTCGTGTCCACAAGGAAGAGACAAAAACATGCAAACGAAAGAATCTCACCTGTAGCCCACAGCTGAACATCCCCACAACTCAGGTCACCAAGTGAATACGTGGCGTCATCTACATCTTCCACGGTGGACTCATCACTTTGGCAGTCATCTCTGTCAAGCTCCATCATCCTTTACTTCGAAGGCCAAGGCACAAAGTATTATTACTTAGAAAAACAAAACGAACTGCTGACACTGGATTCGTTGTGTGCAGGATAATTTTATTGAGTTTTCAAATTTTTTGGACCAAACAGCGAACGCGTCCTTTTGCATGACCTGCGCCGCTTTGACCTCATGGGAAGTCCCTCGCCATGCAGCGCGTGAGGTCTCAGCACTCGTGCCCGAGCTGAGGCAATCATCCGACGCGGTTGTGCATCTCGTGTCGCCTCCCGGTATTTTACGACTCCCTGGGCCCAACCCTGCCCTGCCAGTTTTTTGGACTTACGGGGGTCGCCATGGCAAATAATAATGGAAAAACCAAGATCAATCGTGCACGCAACACAAGTAAAAGAAGAAGAAAAATGGAACAGAGTTTGCTTGATTTTAGACGTCCAGTTTCAGGATTTCGGTGTTTTGTGTGACTGTGTACGCTGCGTACATCCACCGACAAGTAAAGTCACTCACCAGTGGGACCATTGTCATTAGGTTTAGGCCTGTTTTGGAACTCCACTTTAAATAAAGCCAAACAACAACAACAACAACAACAACAACCAGGCTATCCGTCTCAAAAAACCGAAATGAGGACAAACTCAGTGACCTGCATAGTCCATCAGCCAGTGGTGCCAAAGTGAGTCCCCTGTTGCACTTACAAATCGAACACCTGGAACTGACATCAATCGACAGCAAAAGCATCACTGAATCCGACCTGCCTACTTTCCCTTGCGAAACTCTTGCACTCCTTTTGCAGTGCGCCTTGGAAGTTCGACAAATTTCTTCTTCTTCATCAGCCATTACGAGGTTTTCCATCCGTTTTATCAGGACATCCAATGCGTCTTCAGTGAAAAACGTGGAGTTTTGTCCACGTTTGGTGTGGTTTTCCGTGGCGATCGACCTAAAATCGCGAAATAAATCGCCGTCGATTTGAGCAGAGGTGAGTTGGCTTGGAGCACGTACGAGATTCAAAAAATTCAAAAAATATGTGTACATGCGCACCGGGAAGAAGATGAAGATGCTCACCATTTTCAAATAACTAATTCAAAAAACTACATGACTATTGTAGTTACCGGTACTTGTTTGCAACTACAATGTCAATGGTATCAAGTAGATAATCAAGCGAGGTACAGAGGGATTGATGGCTGATCAAAGCCCAAGGGACCAGCCCGAGGGCTTTGATCAGTCATCAAGCCCGACTGTACCTCGCTTGAATATGCATCAGACGATCCCCAACAATTTTTTTGATTTTGAATTCAATCGCTTTATTCTTTTTTTTTTTTTTTTTTCCAGGAGCTGAGGCAAGGCGCCTACAACTTACAAGTTTTTTTTTTTTTTTTTTTTTACAGTCGATGCGCCAAGCCAGCTGAGTAAGAAAAAGAAAAAGGAAAAAAGGCCCAACCCTGCCCGGCCAGCTATTTGGACTTACGGGGGTCGCCATGGCAAATAATAAGTACTTCGAAGTAGTAAAAATGAGCTAGTAGGGACCTTTCGCATTTGCTACGAATCGAATGCGAAACGAAAGTTTGATTCGGCTCGTAATCGTTTCGTTGAAAACAGAATTCAGGTTTCGCAAGTCGTAATGCAAATGTGCATGGCAACTACGAATACGGCCGGTAGCTTGGCGTACGGGTGTGTTCGCGCACACGTGCATGGATCATGGAATCAAGGGAAAAAAATGTGTACCTGGCAAAACATGTGTACCTTGCAAAAAAATGTGTACCTGACGGATTCGGAGCGTGCCACGAATGAAGAGGCTTCCATTCGTGAAAACGAGCTCTCCGCGGCGACTCTGACGAATCCTCGAACCCAGGTGACGAATCAGCATTCGTTTCGTATCCGTACGCGTAGTGCGAAAGGTCCCTAGTGTCGCTTTATTCTTTGGGTGATCTCGAGTGTGGTAGATAGTACTTCGAAGTAGTACAACAGTTCCTGTAACTGTTCAACTTTTCTCCGTACCTATAGTACCTAGTACCTGTACCTTAACATGCTGTCAGAAATGACGTAGTGCACGAATTACGCGCGCTCCCACAGGAACCATCCCGAGTTGCACACTCTGGTTTTAGTAGTAGTACTAGTACAAGCAGTTTTGAGTTTTTTCGTTTGGCGGCGGAAACATTTTCTGCGCATACATTTTTTGATTGTTATTTTCTAGTACAAGGTCAAGGACGAGAAAAGCTCAGAATCAGATAACAATGGCATCTGGCCATCCGCTCACTGCTGAAGAAGCAGCGCCTCAGTTGGCGTTGAGGCACTCGACTTGGACATGGTGAGAACTAAGTAGTTGCGAGCTCTCTTGCCCAGTATACCATGTATACTAGTAGTGAAGAGTTTACGAGCTAGATTGGTGTGCACATGTGAAGTGCAGCCCCCGCGCTCGCTCTGATCTGCCCGACATGTGCCGTTGAGCCTGCTAAAAATGAAGTAACTCGCTGGTCGCGCAAAGCATGTCGTCTACTTGTCGCTGCTGCGTGCTAACAGTGGCCGTTGAGATCACCTCGGCCCAGTGCTTGAAGTTCCCAGGCTGTTGTAGCGGCAAGGGTTCGCAGCTCAACGCCCCGTCTTCCTGGAGAGACTCGCTGCTCTTCCTGGCGGCTGGATTCGTCTTAGCAGTGCTCTGGACGGGTCCTGGTATCTATTCTGGCCAGCCTCAGAACACGGACGTGCTCTGGTGGCCGTTCTTGGGCAGTCGTGGCCCAGGATGTCACCTGCTTGACCTCAACCAGTCGCGCATTGAACAGCACCTCCTGCTGATGACAGTCGGACAGCGATCGTCAGTCACACGCCGTACACTTGGCAGCTCGCTGGTGAAGAGTGGCGATCAAGCAGCTGCTGCTCCTGCTTCTGCAGGCACTGCGGGGAGCAGCGGTAACAAGACATCGAGCAGCAGCAGCAACAACAGCAACAACAGCACAGGCTCTAGTGGCGGCGGTAGGAGTGACAGTGACGGCACGAACGCCGTAACTGGAAAATCCCGCGTGGCCATCCTGGTTCCGTACCGGAATCGCGGCGAGCAGCTCGCCACGTTCATACCGGCCATCTATCGTTTCCTGTCGCGGCAGGACATCGAGTTTGAGATCTTCATCGTCAACCAGCTGGGCACGGCCAAGTTCAACCGGGGGGCGCTGCTCAACATCGGCTACGTGGAGGCGAATCGCGACCGGGCGCGAGATGAGCGGTTTGACTGCGTGGCGCTGCACGACATTGACCTCATACCCGTTCACGACGGCAACAGCTACGACTGCGGGCGTTGGCCACGCGTGAAGGCGTGGCAGCTGAGCACTGCGATCGACATCCACTACTGGCGACTGCCGGCCGGCGATGCGGACGGCGGCGTGAATCTGGTGCAGGCCGGCGCCTTCGAGGAGGCCAACGGCTTCAACAACCGCTTCTACGGCTGGGGCGGTGAGGACAACGACTTCAAGCGGCGCCTGCAGTCGGTCAGCGGTGGCTTTGAGAAGCGCAGTGCGGCCACGGGCCGGTACTGCGCCATACGCAAGGCTCACCGCAAGTCCAAGCAGGTGGCCGACGACCGCTTCGCGCTGCTGCGTAACTACCAGGCGTTGCTCGTGGAGGGCGTCGCCACGATCAAGTATCGACTGCTGCGTCGCGCCGACCTGCGCCTATACACGATGGTCGACGTGGAGCTGTGGCAGCACGAGGACGAGGAACGAACGGGGCGTGCCGACACGGAGACAAACGCGGGACGCTAGCCTGGTTTTGAATGTCACACTACATGCAGCGTACCTGTACATGTAGCCCGGGACTGAGATCATGCTTTCTCTGCGCTCTTCTTCTAGCAGGCAATGTTAGTCATGTATCGTTGACGATAAATTCTTAGTAGCCATGTGATGAGCACCGAAATCAGTGTGTGTTTTGTCACACTGTCTGCCCGGTTATAGCCCAGCATAGGTTGTGGAAGTTGCTTCTTGAAACTGAGTACGATTTGAGTCCAAGGAATATTATAGGTGATCTACTCTCCCATTATGACATTATACATCCCCAATTGATCCAGTCTTTATACCCAGAGTGCTGGCACTTTCCCTTGAATACCTACTTGAACGTGCATAACCAAAGCAAAGCTATAATAATTATCTTGTATCCGCTTTCAACTCCTGCCGTGCCTGGCAGTTTGCTCCCTGTGTATGCACGTGTGCGCGCGCCCGTGTGTGTGTGTGTAGGCAACTATCCTGGCCGTTTTATGCCGATGTACTCCTTGTGGTGTAGACCAGGTGTGCATTGGTGGTCGATTGACATGGCTTCGTCAGTTGTGTGGATTAGGCAGTTATCTGGCGCAAGTCTTGATCTGTCTCATTCAGATCTTGTTCGCTATCGTTGCTATAAGAGAAAATCTGTGGGTGCACATTCAGTGCATTTTCAGATTTGCGTGCTTCTCTTGCGACTGGCGTGTACATGGTGTGTGTGTGTTTGTGTGTGTGTGTGTGTGTGTGTGTGTGTGTGTGAGTGCTATCCGACCTTCCCGTATTTGCACGGAAAATCACTCCTTTGTCCGCACTACGGAATTTGAGCAAAAATGGTACGGAAACTTGATGGAGGAGTATCGATCAGCTACAGCTATGTATGCAGAAGCATGGCAAGCGAAAGCTGAGCTGTTTCTTGCAGGGCCACCTGATAACCAAGTCACGTGCACTCATACAGTCTTGAGCCGTATGGCAGTCGTGAGTCGTGACGTACGTGTTGTCTGCATGGTATGAGTGCATTTCTGCTGTTATGAACTTCGGCTATAAAACTTAAAAGAACTAATTCTCCTGCAGAACGCCATTCGTTATTACCAGGAGTCGACTGTGTGTCATTAATTTTAGAATACGAATTTATTTGAAACTCGGGTATTGAGCCAATAATATAATTAATGTGTGTTGTATGTTGAAGCTAGGTGTCAGGACGTCGAATGTCTCAGTACTCTGTCAGTTTCGTGCCTACTAAATGCAGTTGTTGCACTTTCTGACGGTATAAAGTATAGTACAGTCGTCCCTCTCTAATCCGGCACTTTATAATCCAGCACCCTCGATAAACCAGCACAATTTTCAGTAGCCAACATGTCCTCTTCATGCACATTGCAGCAGTAAATCAGATTTGCCAGCACCCTCCCTAATCCAGCAGGTTTTCGTGGCACAAATGGTGCCGGATTACAGAGGGACCACTGTAGTTACATTGGTGGAGAGTTACTCTTAATAACTCGTTTCCATTATCATAATGGAAAAAAACATAATTTCTGTCCTTTTTCCTGTCAACGGATTTTATTGCGCGCGGTTCGGAGTTACAGTGAAACCTGTCTAAGACGACTGCTTAAGGGACCTTCAAAACACGGTCTCTGTTACCAGGTGGTCTCCTTATCCAGGGTCATTTGACTGGAAAAAGCATCATTGGGTTCTGGTTGCAGTGGTCTTCTGGGACAGGTGGTCGCCTTGACAGGTTTTACTGTATATTATGTATACGAGGCATGAGCATGAGATCGAGTGTAACCTACACGTGTACAGTGCAGTGCTCTCGAAAACTGAATGCCTCCAGAGTCCAGGTTGTGCTGTGCTAGCTGTGCATGATTGACATGCCAGTGAGAAGTACAGCTCAGAGAGTCAGACACACATGCTTGCATGTGCAGCCTCAGCTACTAGCCTACACGCACACACACACACACACACACACACGCACACACACACCTCAGACCTCAGACCTGCCAATCGCGGAAGCGATGATAGCGAACAGCTATGTTAGACATAGCAACTTGTGCTGGGATAATTATAAGGCTATAACACCACCATTCTACAGCTTGCAATGCTGATGAATTGCCCCCCACTAATTTTAGCCTGGTATTCACCACACAGCTGATTGAAGTGGCTCTCACACACACACACTCACTCACTCACATGTGCGTGGACATACACATGCAATCGCACACCTTGAACATGGCCATTGTCGATGGCAATGCCAATGAAAATTATCGAATGGACCATCTCGCAGCCTTGCAGGACATACGCGTGCATGCACACACACACACACACACACACACACACACACACACACACACACACACACACACACACACACACACACACACACACACACACGTACAACGAATGCGACAAAGGCTCTGATGTTGCACCGGCTGCCTAGAATCATTCATGCTGAGGAAGACCGGTATACGAGGTAGACAAATAAATCAGTGAAACAGAGTTTGTCTGGATGAGAAAAGTTATTGAATTCCAGTGTCCTAACACAGCAGGGGAGAGCTTGTGATAACCTTAGATACATTTTTAACATACCAAAAAATACCAAAAAACCAAAACTAGAATAACATCATGACATATAGCTCAGGTGGAGAACGTATGGGACAGTAGCAAAACAAACCAGCAGTAAATTTAAAGGTTGAAGAGCAGCAAACAGGAATAGAACATTGAGTACGTGTGCACTCGGACAGTCATGTAACTAGTTATTACACGGGCGGATTGGTTCAACTTTGCTGGCGAGTTCCCCGTGTGTGTGTGTGTGGGTGTGTGTGGGGGGAGGGGGGGGGGGGACAGAACTAGCTCTGGGAACACCCCGCATACGTGTGTGATGTGTGTGTGTGTCCGCATGTGTGTATGTATGTGTGCGAATGGCATCAACAAGCAAGGGAAGGAGAATATAATAGGACACGAGAATGTCGGCGGCGGATGCTTTCACAGAACCAGCAAACACACACACACACACACACACACACACACACATGCACACGCACGCACACACACACACACACACACACACACACACACACACACACACACACACGGTCTACAGCACCTTCGCAGTGCGTCGTCAAACTGTCCCGATGCTGTTCATGGCAGCAATACACCTGGAGGAGCAACGGGCTAAAGCAGAGCATGGGAAAAATGAAACAGTGGGACTGGGGGAGGGGAGGGCATGGGGAACAAGCATCACGGGTCAAAGGCCCACGGACGGTGGGTGCATACAGCAAGAGAAGAAAGCAACACGCCTGGCAAGAAGAATAAGAAGAAGAAGTCAGTTTGTCTGGGCAATACCGCCAGCACTCATACTCATAAATCGTTATGAAACGTTTTAGGTAGGAAAAATCAATGCGTCCGGTACAGTACAGTGCTTCTTGTACTCCTGCACTTGTGGCCAGATACGGTTTTGACAGAAACAAACACACGCATACATACGTACATGCATACACAAACACAAACATAAAAAAACTACCAGAGAAAGAGCATGATACAGCGGGAATTGGTCGGGAAATGCACAGTCAGACAGCCCAGCAGCACAGCTATGCGGCGTTGCATGATCGGCTGTGACCAACGAGTTGTTTTGTTACTACGGCTGACAAAAGTGCCTGGCACAGCACCACTTCCTTAACTCTCGACGGAAACAATTTTTTTGAAGTAAATACTCGTGCAGACACACGTTCTCACATACACACACACACACACACACACACACACACACACACACACACACACACACACACACACATGCTATCTATTCCACAGCGTCGTCGCCGTGCGTCTTGCCACACGCTACCGGGGCGAGTGGGCCAGCAGCCAGACCAGGGCGGGCAGCAGACCCAACTTGGGTCGGCATCGTCAGCAGGCGAACAGCAAGCGATAACGAGCGGGCGGGGGGAGCATTGCTCCGATAGGTCGGGAAACGCGGACGTCCGGAATACTTGAAAGAGAAGCGCCAACTCCAGATCAGCAGGTACTTTGCATAGGAAGCGTGAGCACAGCAGACTGTGTGTCACTACAGACCGTGCAGTGGCGTGCGGTGGCGTGCTACATTGGGTCATCGTTGGCCCCGTCGTTCTGGTACATGTTGTGCTGCTGTTGGACGTGCGGAACGTGAAGCATGAAACTGCGCTGGTACTGCTTACGCTGCTCAGTCATCTGCATACACACACACACACACACACACACACACACACACACGTACACACACACGTGCACGCACGCACGCACGAGCACACACACACACACACACACACACACACACACACACACACACACACATATACACATACACACACGGGCATGCACGCATGTGAACACACACACACACACACACACACACACACACACACACACACACCCAAGGACAAAGACAACAATGAGCAAGGAAAGCACGGTAGTTCACACAGTGGTTTCTCCGACGCTGAGTATCACCTCCCAGTACAGGTCTGACCAGAGAAATCCAATCTCAGGAATAAAGCAGCGCTGCACTCAATTTTAGTGAGCATAGTCCTGTGTGTGTTGCAATAGACAGACAGATGATCTCTTATACTAGTAGACATACCTTCTCCTTCAACTCATTCAGCTGATCGCTGAGTTGTTTGACCAGGACTGTTGTCTGCTGTAGTTGATCGTTCAGCGAGGCGTATGCGGCTGGTTCGTTGTCCGCCTCCTCTGTCGTAGCAAGCGACAGGGTTTTCAGGCGCGGAAACCACTCCAAGTCTCCTTGCTGCTCTCGCAGGGCAAAACATGTGCATGGGTGAGCGCGTGCACAGACACACAGACATGCATGCACGCATGCACGGACGCACACATGGACGCACACACACACACACACACACACACACACACACACACACGCACACACACACACACACACACACACACACACACACACACACGCACACACACACACGCACACACACACATACGCACACACAGACATGCACAAATGCTCGCATGAACACACACACACACACACACACACACACACACACACACACACACATACGCACGCATGCATAAAATTAATGCAGGCAAATATTAAAAGTCCGTATAGAATGGACTGTCTGCTAGCTGTACCCAGCATTAGAAAGGAGCTAGCCAGCACACAGCATTTAAAGTAGTTGTGTGCACGGGTAGTCCGGTACCCATGCTACCCGTGAGCACCTCGGGTAGACGGGTACAAAATAGTACCCGAAAACCCAAAGTCGCAGATGACATCATGTACAGTGCACGTGTACAAATTCATGTAATACTCTGCATGTCTACCCAGTGTGTAAGGGAAGGGGTGCATTGTGGTGTTACCATAGATACATTACCCGATCGGGTACCGTTGCTACCCGTGGAAAACTACCCGATACCCGAAGAAAATGTTACCCGACTCAGCCCTAGTTTAAAGTGTATTTCCTCTCACCTCAATCATGTTGGCTACGTAACTCTCTGGTCCAGTAAACTCCGTCGGGTCTTTGGTGCGCAGCAGGACGACAAAGTAGAGGTAGTTCCAGGGACGGTGCTCCTGGTCAGTGTGCTCCTCAAACGTCACGTCGCGATTGTCGAACGACTTGCGGTCCAGTCCTGGATAGAGCGTGGCAGAAGCAGAAGAGAGAAGGGAGAGGCGATGAAGGCAAGTGGTAATGAGAGCAATACCGTACTCACTTGATTAGAAGCCGGGGGGCTTCTATTTGTTGCCAATTTGGAGTTGGCTTCTAGTCAAGAGGAGATTCTATTCGAGAGAGGCTGTTTATCATCTCCATCCACACCGTTATTCCGCTCAAATCCCGAACATTTTCATTCAAAGCAACTCTGCACCGAGTTAGTTCGCACACACTACGCCGACCTGGACATGCACTGGTACCGTCGACTCCTGATATTACCAACACCATTGGGCAGGAATGGACTCGGATGGAGAGCCAAGGATAAATTTATAGTAAAGAAAATGGACCAATAAACTACAAGTTACGCATGAGCTCATGAGCTGATTGTATAGAAACTGGTGGTGTTAGCGGACATTATAGCGTAACTTGTAGTTTCTTGGTCCTTTTCTTTACTATAAATTTATCCATTGTGCAGGATAATTATTTATCGCTAGTGCTGAAACGATTACGTTTTTTCCTTAGTGGCTTAGCTGATACCATAACGATCGGCTTATCGGCTAAACGATTATTATTGCAACTACATCAGTACATGTACATTCTGTGAATTTCAAAATTTTACGAGTCCAACATCGCCAACGACGGAAAGCGGGTGCATAGATCCGATGTTCCCGCAACAAGTCTGTCAGCTGTTCGGACTGACCAGACGAATACAGACAAGACAGAGGCAACTCACTGGTTGCAACCCAAGCGCTGATGGTGCCCTTCGCCTGTGACTTCGCTGACTCCGACGATGAAGTCAGAGAAGCAAGCCAGGGGTGCAGATCGGTGGATTTCGACGAATGAGCTGACGCGCGGCACACCGACAAGTAACTAGTTGCTTTTCCTGTCTATGCTCAAAATAGGCCCGGACGCCAGGCCTAGCTCGTCGTCGAGCAAACTGGTTCTGGAACCATCGACAGTCGAGCAAACTGGTTCTGGAACCATCGACAGTCGAGCAAACTGGTTCTGGAACCATCGACAGTCGAGCAAACTGGTTCTGGAACCATCGACAGTCGAGCAAACTGGTTCTGGAACCATCGACAGAACGGAAAACATTAAACTGAAGACCACTATATATTATAATAATATATAATAATACTGTCTTTAGCTCAAGACTACTTGCACGTGGAGGGAACTCCAACCCCTGCAGCTAGTGTAGACACATACTGAGCCTGCCCGTCCTGCATGCTGTATGTAATAGACCAATCCCAAAAAGATTGTCTGGGTTCGAAAGGGGGCATGTCACCTGAGAGTACCCTGTACAACACATACATGTACATGGCACTACCCGATCAGCATGCAGCACAGGATGTGTTTGATAGTTTGCGTGTGAATGCGGGGGTAAGTACACGGTTTTCTCGTTAGTTGCATGCAAGAGAGACGATCCGACAGAAAGCAAATATTTGTGTTGGTTTCTCCCTCGCACTGATAATGTTCTGCTGTTGGAGTTGACGTGCTAAGCCATAATCCTTGTTTCGCTCTTCTGTGTAGTGTGAAGAGGTCAACGAACATGTATAGCTCACTTTGATGAAGTAGGCAAGGCTGTGAGCGCTGTGGCTCAAAGCGATAGGCCCTAAATCATACGAGATACTTCGAGCGCCATTGTTTGTTGCGAGCGCTTCGTCTTCGATGAGTCCTGCCTCTTTCCTGTCAGGTTTCCTCCAACAGGACCAAGCACGAAGTAACTGTACTCATCTGCAGGCGATCAATGTTCTACTGCGCAAGAAGATATCGTTTTCGCCAAGCCAGTGCCCCGCCAAAGACCATCGCCATGTCACAACGTCGGAACGAGTTCATGATGAGAATCATCATTCGCGCGAGCTTGATGAAGAACTATTTTCGAAAGACAACATAGTCTCTACCTCCGGGACGACAACTAAGCGCCGGTCCTGGAAGGGGAGAATGTCTCCAGCGATAAGAACGAAGACGACGGCGATATTTCGGCAACGTGGAGTCAGCGGAGTTCGTCAAGCTCTTCCGCCTCCGGGATCTGGTACATGTGCAGTTGGCCACATGTCGACACGAGTGTGCAGGAACACAGCAACACTGTAGTACTGTTGCGAGAGTTTGCGGAAGGAGTCCAAGTCGGGAAATCCATCAGCTCCAAAAGCTACCTGTAGGTGGGCGATAAGACTCCAGCTTCAGACTACAACAGTCAGGACTTGTAAATAGTTGAACTTTGTGAAGCAGCAGATCGAGAAGTTAGTTGAAATCGTAGCTGTTGCAGTATGTCGGCGCTATGTAGCTTGTATTTTTTTTTACGGAGAGTCGATCGCCACGCGAATGTTTCTCTCCTCACCGAGAGCTAGCTGGCCTCCAAACTCCGTCAGGGTCTGCCTAAGGTACCAAGGTCCTTTGACTAGCTGCTGGCAGGACTCCATCAAATCCTTTAGCTTCAGCTCGGCAAGCAAAAGTCTCTCTCTCCTCCAACAATCTTTTCGGGATTGGTAAGAAAAGTAGTCAGCTCAAAAAACGGCGACGGTGATCACGTCGATGTTTCTCAGATCGCGCTTGTACTTTACACGTACATCGATGTTGCAAGTGTACAGTCATGTACATACTCGTGTCGTACTCGCAACACTTTCGATGCATGCACGCTTTGTGCGACCCCAAAATGGGGGAAATCCCGCACTGAGCGTAAGTACATGTACCATTCTACTCGTTTAGCCGATAAAATCGAAATAACCGTTCGATCTATTTCTTATCGAGTAAGTAACGAGTAATCGATATAATCGTTTCAGCACTATTTATCGCCGAAGTTCGCCATAACAGAAATGCACTGTAGCAGCAATCCCGTCATTAAGCACCGTACCACACATAGCGCAGGTGTTTCGCAAGGTGAAGCAACCCCGTAGCTACAAACCCATCTATAATCACCGGCTTACCACAGATAAAGCAGGTGTTCCGCAGAGTTAGCTCTTTCTCCTGCTTCAGCGAACGCAGGTCAGCGAACGTATCGATGATGACTCCGAAGATGAGATTCAGGACGATAATGATGATGATGAAGTAGAAGAGAATGTCGTAGATAAGACGGAGCGGAAACAGCGGGTCCTAAACAATGCACAAACAACAAAAGGGTGAAAGAGAGAGAGAGAGAGAGAGAGAGAGAGAGAGAGAGAGAGAGAGAGAGTGAGAGTGAGAGTGAGAGTGAGAGAGAGAGAGAGAGAGAGAGAGAGAGAGAGAGGGAGAGGGGGAGAGAGAGAGAGAGGGAGAGAGAGAGGGAGAGAGAGAGATGACGGGATTAGAAACGTACAATGTAACTCTCTACAGAAAGCTGTGGCAAGGAAGCAGGAAGCATTAGTGTTCCACGTGATCCACGCCATACTGTTCCTCCAGAATCCCCTTGCCCCATACGAATACGCAGTGGACACCCAACTCCGTCAACACACTGCCGCAAACACGATCACACAAAACCCCAACCATTCCTTCCTCATCAATACCAATTCACAATGGAACACCAGAGCTGTAGGACCCGGTCCAGCCAGGCCTCATTTCAAAATAGTTGACCCACCAAACTCGTTCATTTCTGGTGAGGTGTCCAATTTGGCCGGACCACCTTAAGTTCCGGTGCTCGGAACTTGAACGCAACTGAACAATAATGGAGGCGACAATGAGCGTGCGCCACGGCAGCAAACAGCACCACACAACGTACATTGCTGGAGAGCGAGGCCAAGACCTCTCCGACACCTCCGCCGTGCCGAATACCTTGGTCCAGGACGGTGATGATGCACATGAAGAGCGTGTCACAGCGGTTCTCAGTCGGCGAACACTCCACTGAGAGAACGGCACAGTACACACAGACAAACATACACAGACACACAGTCTGGCAAAGGCTTGATATACGTTGCATGCAGACATGGAGGCAGACAAACAGATACACACATGCACGCACACACACATACACACACACACACACACACATGCACACGCACACACACACACAAAAACAAACATACACGCAACAAACCACAGCAGGCCACAACACCAAAACCAAAAAAGTGGGATGAATAAATGACAGGACATGATCCACATCAAGTAAACCAAGTACAAATCTTCACACTCATGCTCAGTGGTCACATTCTTACGTTCCAGTTCGGGGACGACGGGCGCCAAGTTCTCGGTGGTTATCGGCCGGGTGGCGTTGGTGACATTGCAGCCTGTGCCGTTAGCGTGGCATACACCGTTAGACTGGTGAACAGGCGGTGATATGCTCGAAGGGTAGAAGAGAAGCTGAGAACACCGGCCGGGAAATGGCAGTCGTGCACACCGCACCAGAGGAGAGAGACAGAGAGACGGATAGACAGACGGACAGACGGACAGACAGATGGCCAGACAGATGGACACACAGACACACAAAGTGGCTCAGAAGCATCGTAGTTACCAGCAGCAATTCCTTCAGGACATTTTCGCATACGTACAAAGACCAAAATGACCGAGGAGCAACATATTCAACATGTTATCATAAAAGCAATCACAGTGCTCTCACTCTCTCATTCTCTCTCTCTCACACACACATTCTCTCTCAAACACTCTCTCTCTCTCTCTCACTCTGTCTCTCACTCTCTCTCTCTCTCACACACACACACTCTCTCTCTCTCTCTCTCTCTCTCTCTCTCCATCTTTCTCCCGGTACGTCACCACCTTCCGCCTCACCTCATCGGGCATTTTCTTCCCGAACACACTGCCCATCAAGGCATCGACAACGGTGCGGTTCCGCTTTGCACACTCCACAGGCATTGAGAAATGCTGCGTGGTAAACAAACAAACACGTGCACACACAAAGCACACACGCACGCAGTAGGCATCGTTCAAATTAGAACAGGGGAAAAAAGCTTGGAGATGTGAGCAGAGCGAAGACCAAGCAGGTATAAACTCCCATGTTTCTATTTGGAAGCTTTCAATTGATGTTTCAGCTATCAATAATTTTCAAAACGAAACTCTCCTCAACCCACCCACCCATAAACGAAGCTTTTTCTCCTCGTGAAAAAGATCGATAATTACGGACGGCCCCTTACAAAGGGACCACTGCTATACTGTACACTGTGAAGGGAGTACTCACCTCCTGGAAGACGGTGTAACCCACCAGTGAGAACATATAAATAAGTATGAGGGCCAGTATAGCGGTGAGAAGAATGGACCGTCCGTTCTTGGTGACGCTCTGTATGACGTTGAAGAGCGTCTCCTCCCTGGTCAGGATGTCAAACAGCTGTTCGTGTGTGCGGGACAGGGGGTGCGCCAACAGGCAGCAAATACACGCAGACACACAAAGAGACGCACATGCACACGTACACACGCGCGCGTGCACACACACATACACACAAACGCACACGGCATCAGCACATTGCATGGAGTCTGTTGCCTCACTTGTTATTGTACAAACTACAAAGTCACACGTGTAGGGCAGTTCCAGCTGTAATCAATGACCCTCTATATTGCAGTTTGAGAACCCAAGCTGACTGTCTGCACCACCCGCACGTGATGTGCCACTCCACTGTGTAGAGTACACGGTTCATCTGCATGTGTGTATGTATGTATATGGTCAACACGGCACGCTTTGTGCTGGTCTGGCAGTGCAATTTCTAGTATGCAGTAATCGATATCATAATCGATAATAGAATCGATACAAGGGTAGGTTAACCGATAGTTGAAAAGTGTAATCGTTTCACCCCTACTATTTATTTCAAATCAACTGCTACTCAGTACTACTTGTCGCTGAGTTTGTAGTTTCCGCCTTGTAGAGAAGGAGAAGCTGTAGCTGATTTTTTTGCTTGGCCACTGCTGTGCCTGTACTGTCGTTCGGCTTTACATGTAGTCGCCGGCCAAGAAGCAATGATGGGTGTCTCTGTTATTTCTATCGCAGCGATCGCTGATTTCGTTTAGTTCTGAGACCAACCAAATCTGGGCTCGTTTCCTTGTCTAGCGGCAAGCGAGAATCAGAACTCCTATCTCTCAGGTGTTGGTGAACACTCAGCAGGAAAACACTGCACAATGGCTTGAGAGCGACGGGGAAACTTCTTGAAGTAAAACAAAATTTGAAGTCGCGATCTTGCACCAGCGTGCCTCAGTCAAAGTGATGCCGTGACCGTTGGAGACACGACAAGTGCAGGTGACGCGACTTTCGTTTGTCACCACTTGGCCTTGTAACTACGTGCAACTACGAGTTCTCAGGCAGCGTGACGTAGGCACTTCGACAGCCTATACCAGGGATGATTTTACTGTCATGCTTTTGCATAGCAGTTTTTGCTATGCAAAATCTCAATTGTGGCATAAGCTACAAAAAACATGGATAGCCTGTACATGTATGTATGGCAGTTTTCTGCGTGTCACTGTGATTTTTGAGTAGCAGTAGATCGATTTTGCGTAGCAAACTGCGATGCGATACAGGATAAATTCATCCCTGTATACCTACCGCATGCAAGTACATGTACACAATTTTTTATGCCAGTTCTAACAGTTTTTGTGGCCTTTTCATTGAAAAGCCAGTTGAGGTGACTCTAGATGGATCAGAAAGGCGTCCGGTGGACAGACAGGCCCGAACTAGGGGTGTTCGCATTCGGGGATTTTACCGCACTACCTTATAGTCTGTTTCAAAAAGATTTACAATCAGGCTTGGGTCTTAAAAAGTATGAAGATAAGGGAAATTTGGACAACAAAGTACATAGAATGGCTTGTTAGGACACGGCAAATTGTTCTGTGAAGGTTTCGGAACAATTGGACCAACCGTTGAGGAGTTAGAATTTCGGCCAGGTTTCCGGCCTTTTCCCATGGTTTACCATTTGCCCAGGAAGCCAGTATCGATTTTTTATCAAAACCAACGATTTATCCTTTCCTTTTTGGCCTTGTGGTTATGAATGCTGTCTGCTGACCATGAAGTTAGTTGTGAGTTCAAATCCCAACCTAGTACCTATCCTCAAGTCAAACTTTTTTTCATTGTTTTGGTGATCAAGCTGGTACAAGACAAAGATAATGGCTGCACCAAACGACTTGTTGTTGGAGCTCGCGCTTCCTGCCGAACTGACTGACACTTGACTGGCTCACGCCATGTGAACACACCCACAACACTGCAATGGTGTGAGTGAATTATAATGGAAGTCATCGCGCTGTAGCTTTTTGAGATTTATTTTAGTATTTCAAGATCGCCAATTTATTTGAATTTAGCAGTCAACGCAGTCTTCTATCAGCGTTCACAAGCGTCTGCTTTTCTCAAAATGTCGTCGAAGTCACACGGATAGCTTTGCCAAGTCATGGCCTTGGGAATGAGTCCGTGTCGATGTCGTTTTCGTCACACGGTGAGTAAATTGCATCGCAGCTCAAAGAAACTATTTTGGTCACAAAACGGACCCATGCGCAGCTCTTCAACATTTACAACACTTTCGTTTCGACATGTCCTCTCTGACTCCATTATCGATACGAGGAAGAACTCGTTTGATGTAAACCAGACCGTAGATGACTGTATCAACGTGAGTGAGTTGTCATTTTTCCTGCTTTCGCGCGGAATATTTCTTCGAGTTCACAGTGAGTTTTTCCAGGCAGCGCTCGAGTGCTCATACGGTAAGACGCCAAACTCCGCGGGCGATCGCCAGGATTGTAAATCTTTTTGAAACGGACTGTAGTACACAAGCCGGCCTCACCAGAAATGAGAAGAAGAAGACGTGACCGACCAGGCCCAGGAAACAGATGAGCAGGTAGACGAGGTGGTAGGCAAAGTCGAAGGACCAGTAGGACCTGCGGCGTCGCGCCATCCTATCCGCCTGCTGCGAGTCATCCGCTATGCACAGGTCGGTGTCCTTGAAGAACGCGCCATGGTTGCCAAGGTAACTCATGAACAGGATCGCCCGATTCATGATCTGCACCGGGCAGACAGATACAGAGTTGAAATATCATGACTAACATACCATACCAGAAGGCGCCATGGTTGCCAATGAAGCTAATGAACAGGATGACCCGATTCATGATCTGCACCGAGCGGAGACAGGCAAGGATGAAACATTATGACTCTAACGTACCATACCACATGTGATTGATCGTGTGATTGATCGTGCCACTATTTCAGTGCAAACTGATCATGCATGAGTTTGATCATGCGATCAGTGCAAACTGATCATGCATGAGTTTGATCATGTGATCAGTGCAAACTGATCATGCATGAGTTTGATCATGTGATCAGCGCAAACTGATCATGCATGAGTTTGATCATGTGATTGATCATGTGATCAGCACAGACGTATCATGCATGTAATTCATTGTGAGACTATTTCAGTACAAACTGATCATGCATGTGATTGATCACGTGCCTATTTCACTGCAAACCGACCATGCATGTGATCGATCATTTGATTGACCATTGTCACAATTCAACTACATGTGCAGACTGATCACAGAATGCGAGTACTTCCAGGCACAAAACCATCATGGATCGCATGTGCCACGTGATCACGGAAAACTCTGCGGCACGCACGCACGCGTGCGCGCACGTACGCACGCACCCACACGCACGCACCCATGCGTGCACACACACACACACACACACACACACACACACACGCACGCACGCCCGCACCCGCCCGCCCGCACGCACGCAAAGACACATACACACACACACACACACACACACACACACACACTCACGCACGCACGCACACACACACACCTGTATAGTAGAAAGCAGACGTATGGTCAGCGACGGTCCAAACGCTACCAGGACCTCCAGCATGATAAGTCCGGCCATGTAGCGACTCAGCTGATGCGTCTTGATGGCTATGACGTAGCACTGGTAGATCGTCACTCCAAGAATGAACAATGAGAAAAGAAGAATGAGGTGCGGTGACAGATCTATGAGTTAAGAAAAAAAAGAAGAAGAAAAACAACGTTAGAAGCAGTAAATTGCGGACTATCGTGTTTTCAGGAGTGTAGTTTTTCTTAATTTGTTCACGGTTCGCGCGAGGCTCGGCTGGTGGCTGAGTTGTCCGCATCCGAAGGAACGCCACCACCCTCTTATGGATCAAGATGAGCACAAGTCAGTACGGCTTATACTACGGTGGTCAAATGAATGCAGATATCCATGTAAAGGGCACTACAGTCAATTCATCGGAAACTGTCCCGCTGGCTTTTGAAAGTCGGATTTGGGCCGAATTGAGGATCAAAAACCCACTTTAAATCTAAAAAATCTGGGATTTGGATCTGCTTCTCCATACATTTTGCCATGGCATACCTGTCCTAATTTTGTAAAACCTGGCTGAATTTCTATTTCCCTGTGTGTTCTTGGACTTTTGTGGCCTCAAATGTGGCAAGGAGTAATTGCACGGGTCACACAATGCAGGATGTACTGTTGTTTTCACGATATCTGCAACTATGTGTGGGAGACACCAAAAAGTTAGGGTGCCAGTTTCCAATGAATGGACTGTAAAGTCAACTTCGCTAATAACGACTGCGGATATAACGGCAATTCGCGAATAACGACAGAATTTCCACGCCCAGAGCAAAGTCCCATCTAACTGTAATACATAATGAGACTTCGGGTATAAGGACACTTCGCGAATAAGGACACTTTTCTGATGCCCCGACGAGTGTCGTTATACGCAAAGTTGACTGTAGTTGATGTCCGTATTTCGTGACAACAAACCTGGGTGCGGCATATAATCTGGAAAATAGGGTAGATGTCAACCTACCGCAATGATGCACGAAAGTAGAAAATAAAAGGTGTAGGTCAGTACCAACCAGCGTCGTTAAACGTATTGCAAGACTTTAACAGCCAGCGTCGTTAAACGTATTGCAAGACTTTAACAGCCAGCGTCGTTAAACGTATTGCAAGACTTTAACAGCCAGCGTCGTTAAACGTATTGCAAGACTTTAACCCATTCAGCGCTACTGGGCCTTGCCTATGGTACTCTGCATATAAAATGCTAAAAACAGGGCCAATAGCAAGTTCTAAAACTCCAGGGTTCTGGCAACTGGGGTTCTCAAATATTTTGGAAATGATTGCCAAGACTATCAACTACAGGGTGACAGAATCGATACAGTCCCCAAAAAGAATAGCGCTTCACAATAGGGGACGCAAGTTTGCTCGAATGGTGTGAAATACGCCAAATGCGTGAAATTGCAGCTGAAAGATCGCTGAAAAGAGAAGAAAAAAAGACTCATAGTGTTTCCAAGCTGGATTCGTACCAGCGACCTATCGTACAAGAGGCAGGATCATGATCCAACTGACTAACAGTGCTTTTACACACCAAACAGTGCCAGAAATCACTATATATCCCATGACGTCTATAGACGTCATCCCGCGCGTGGGGGGCACTTTCAATGACGTCTATAGACGTCATCAGCGTTCAATGGGTTAACAGCCAGCGTCGCTAAAAGTATTGCAAGACTTTAACAGCCAGCGTCGTTAAAAGTATTGCAAGACTATAACAGCCAGAATCGCTAAAAGTATTGCAAGACTTTAACAGCCAGCGTCACTAAAAGTATTGCAAGACTTTAACAGCCAGGGTCGCTGAAGTATTGCAAGACTTTACTGACAATAAAGTTTTCGTGCAAAATCTGCGCCCATTAAAATCCTGACTCACACGTCGTGAAACCCATGTACGGAATCTCATCGCCAAACGGGTAGTAGAGAGCGACAAGGACATTGATGATGACGGCGAGTCTGAAGGACCATGCCGACCAGACGGTCTCGTTCTGGCACACCTTGAACAGATATGGCGTATCTACACACAACATACATCATACATGTACATACATACATACACGGGTACACGCACATGCACAAGCACACATACATGCACACGCATGCACACACACACATGTACTCACTCACACACACACATGTACTCACTCACACACACACACACACACACACACACACACACACACACACACACACACACACACACACACACACACACACACACACACACGCACACACACACACACACGCACGCACGCACGCATGCACGCAAACACGCACGCACGCGCACGCACACACACACACACACACAAACACACAAATACACACACACATACACTCACACACACAAACACAAACACAAACACACACACACACACACGTGCAGAACAATCAACAAAAAGGAAGGACCAGTGAACCCCAAATAGCACATAGCTCATGCTCTACTCTTGTGGACTAATCGTTCCAGCTCTGTGTATGAGACAATGAGTTGCGCGGAACTATTTTTTTCCACATAGGCCTGGTGAACATTTTACATTCGTTGGGTACAGGATCAAATGGGTGTTTGTCCACCACAACTACAGGATACGTTGAGATAGAACTGAGCTCGCTGCAATGTGCGAGTACCGTTCAACGCTCTTTGTTGATGTTAGGCCCACAATATATTAATTCATATACATGTAATTCATTAGTTCATGCATTATTCATTTGGCCTGGGTAGCGCGTCCATGTTTGCCAAAGCTACCCAGGCCCTTTATATTGCGTTGTCGCTCTCTCACTCGCCCTCGATTCATTGATTCTTGATTCCATTCTCGACTCTCGCTACGTTGCTTCCTTGTTTGGACTCGGATTCAACATTGAGATAAAACTGTGAGCAGCATCCTATGTTAACATTGAGAAAACATGAGCTCTTTCGCAACGCACCTTTCAGCGCTCTTTGCCACTCCATTTCCTGGTACAGCTTGGGTATTCTGTCTGCGAACCCAGGCACCTGACCACACAAGCACGTACATAGTCGTAGACACACACGCACACACACACACATACGTGTACACACGTATTCACACACATGTACACACACGTATACACACAGACATGCAGACACGCACACCCACACAAACACACATGTTAACCAAAACGCACACGCACATGTCAACACATCAATGGCATAGATACCAGTATCTATCTGACTCCCAAATCTCCCTCCCCTCTCTCTCTCTCTCTCTCTCTCTCTCTCTCTCTCTCTCTCTCTCTCTCTCTCTCTCTCTCTCTCTCTCTCTCTCTCTCTCTCTCTCTCTCTCTCTCTCTCTCTCTCTCTCTCTCTCTCTCTCTCTCTCTCTCTCTCTCTCTCTCTCTCTCTCTCTCTCTCTCTCTCTTCAATCTAAATAGGTCACACAATCATGCCTTACCTTGCTACCTTGGTTGTCAGGCTCCACGGATGCCTGTACCTTCTCCTTGCTGTCATCCGTAAGAAAGTTACAGATCTGAGGCACGGGGAAGATGATTGTCTCAAGCTTGCGATCTTCTCGTACGATCTAAACACGAAAAACATAAAGCAAATTGGAAAGGAGGCGAAAGTCAACGTGGAGAAGCACTGCAGTGAGAAGCATGGCAACGAGGCCCATGGCAACAAGCAACGAGGCCCATGGCAACAAGGAAATGGCAATGAGGCCCATAGCAACAAGGGAAATGGCAATGAGGCCCATAGCAACAAGGGGTATGCCAACGAGACGCGTAGTATTACAAAAAGAAGGGTTCACGAGTGGGATTCGAACCCGGCACCCCTGTCTTTCTGGAACAGTGCCCTACTGATTAGGCGACCAGGGATCACACACACGTGATTCCTTCTTGCTACAATACTGTAGCAATAGGAGACATGTCAACGAGACCCATAGCAACAAAGAGCATGGCAGTGAGGAGGAAGGTGGTGAAAAGCACGGAAGTTTTCCAAACGAAAAGAGAAACATAAGTACGCAACCGAGTGCATGCAGTGCTGGAAAGGTTGCTTGATGTCCCATCGTATCCGCATCGTACTATACCGCTTACCTCAATCTGGGCAGTGTGTCGGTGGTAGAAGTACAGACCTTTGTGTTCCTCCGGGTCGTTGAGAGCCCGACGCATGATTGTGGCCAACTCCTTACTACTCTTCTCCAGCTGCATCAAAGACCCAGAGGGCAGAAATAACAATTTTCTAAACACAGAATGTAACCGGAAATAGCAGGTTCAGCATAGCCAACGACTGAATGCTCGGCAATAGAGACATGAAAACGCCACCACTACCAGCAGCAGAAGTGTGTGAAGCAATAATGCACACCGGCAGGCAAAACAAAATGCAAAATCAGCACCGGCGGACAACGGCGATTCATCAACAGGACCTTGGACTGACCCAGTGACAGAACAATCAGTAAAACACAGGCCACCCGTAGCATCTGTATTACACGCAGCAAAACCACCAGCAGCACCAGCAGCCGCAACAGCAGCAGAAACAACAGCAGTAGCAGCAGCAACAGCAGCAGCAACAGCAACAGCAGCAGCAACAACAGCAGAAACAACAGCAGCAGCAGCAGCAGCAGCAGCAGCAGCAGCAGCAGCAGCAACAACAACAGCAGCAGCAACAACAACAGCAGCAGCAGCAGTAGCAGCAACAGCAGGAGACGAAGAAGCAGCAACATTAGAAACAGCAGCAGCAGCAGCAGCGGCATGTCTGGTCTGGGTGGGGGTTAGTCCATGCGTTCTGCATTCTAGTCCACCTACCTGATGAGCCAGGATGTAGAAGTTGTGGCCAATTTCAATCGGAGACGTGTCCATCTTCATCTCCTTGACATCGCCAATCGAGTACGCGTACTGGCACAGTGAGACCTGGACGACAAGTACATAATTATACGCACGGGAAACACGCGTGCACACACATACACGTATACACATGCACACATGCACACACACACACGCACGCACGCACGCACGCCCACACACACACACACACAAAACACGCACACGCACACACACACACACACACACACATGTTTTCTTATCTGAAGCCCTATTGCGGTAAAATCTTGCATGATACACACTACACATACTAGTCAGTCCATGGCATTACTGTGCAATATCACTACAGACCTAGACACCAGGTATATAAGGTGGATGTGTGAGTTACGAAGTCTGAAAAAAATGTTGAACGGCCTCTGCTGGGATGACGACTACACCATAGCTCGGTGGTAAGAGCATCGCTAGCTACAAGCGAAGGTCCCTAGTTCGAGTCCTGGTGGTGACAGTCAATTTTTTCTTCGGACTTTTCCCGTTTGTCTCTTTCCCTCAAACCCAGTTAATAAGGTGTATGTATATGCACACAAGCACATACAGTGAAATCTGTCTTAAGGTGACCGCCGCTCAAGGGACGAGAAAAAGTGGTCACCTTGGCCAGGTGGTCTTCTTATCCAGATCCAGTGGGTCATGTGACCATATCCACTCGACGTGAGATTTCGACTCCCCCCCCCCCCCCCCTCCCTCGCACAAATGAACAATGTTTGTTTCAGGAACGACAAAACACTTTGGTGGCGACACGTTAGAGGAGGTCTACATACCAGCTTGTCCAGCGGTTGAATGCGCTGGATGATGCGGTCAATCATTGTGCTGTCCTGTCGACTCTCCATGATGGATAAGATGCACTTGACTGCGTTGTTCTGTCAACACCACCACCACCACCACCAACAACACACAGCAGAAAAGAATTGAAATGATCGTCCCGCAACATGTGACCCAACAAACTTACGTAGCTTGTATTATTCCCCTCGGGCCTGGTTTAAATTTGGCTTTGGAAATTTTATTTTCATTGCTATCAGGTTCGGCCTCATTTTCTCTGTGCTGCGCTGATGAGTTCACAAAGAACGAAACAGCATGCTGTCCGCAGATTGAGTAGCTTTTATTATTACAAAACCGAACAGAACCAGGAGTAGAGATGGGATACAGTTGAAGCGAAGAACAACATGCTGTGCTGCTCAATGAAATCTGATCAAACGAAACAAGTGTTGCACCCAGTTCACCATCCCAGCGTTCGCAGGTCTACAGTCCATTCATCGGAAACAGTCCCGTTTGGCTTTTGAAAGTCCGATTTGGGCCGAATTGAGGATCAAAACCCACTTTAAATTTCAAACATCTGGGTTTGGGTCTGCTTCTCCACACATCTTACCTGTCCTAACTTTGTAAAACATGGCTGAATTTTTATTTCCCTGTTCTTGGGCTTTTCTGGCCTCAAATATGGCAAGGTATAATTGCATGGGTCACACGGTGCAGGATGTACTGTTGCTTTCACGATATCTACAATTCTATTTGGGAGAGACACCAAAAAGTTAGGGTGCCAGTTTCCAATGAATGGACTGTAGGGCTGAACAGCGCCCGGCGGCGAGGCCTCGACTTGCTTGATCGGATTTCATCATGCCCGCATGGTACCAGCAAATGCAGCATTGTCATTGAGCAGCCCTGTAAAAAGAAAGGATAGGATCACAGTGAAGAACAACATACAATGCACGTCGCCTCCGTGCGCCTACCTTGAGCTCCAGTTCAAGCTCGGGGAACTGAGATCGCAGTGGGTCAATATCATTCATCATGAGAGCGATGATGATGTCGATGCCGTTGCTGTCGTGATTCGCAATGGCATTCTACCGCAGCACCAACACAGTACATACACACACACATGGGAGAGAGAACACACAACAACGTCAACACATTGCAATTTCAAATTTGGACTTCACGGAGAATTTCAAAGGTCCCTGGTTCAAGCCCCGGTGGTGTGACTGTTGATTTTTTCTTTCTTTCGTATCTGGCTTGCAAGCGTTGAGTTTCGGAGAGAAAAGAGCAGTACGAGGCATGTGGCCTTTAAATTCCTAACGTCAACACAACTATTTTTAATTCTTCGTTGCCCTCTGCAATAGGTCCGCCAAATAGTAGTAATAGGTTTTTCACTTCACCCGACGAGACCACACGACGCTTGCAGATCACAGCACGAACAGTTCACCAGCCACACTCAACGAAAGCAAGTAGTAGTAGTACTCCTGACAAGTCTTGTTTCGTTCCATAGAGATATAACTTGCTTTCGTGGAGTGTGGCTGGTGAACTGTTCGTGCTGTGATCTGCAAGCGTCGTGTGGTCTCGTCGGGTCAAATGAAAAAAACCTATTACTACTATTTTTAGCATGCAGCTCAATTTCATATCACTGCAATCCCCCGTGTGAAGTTCATCCACCGTCCGTAGAGGCTACTATTTTCGTCTGACGATCGATTCAGTTCGTGAAATTCAGAGTTACGAAAAACAACTGCTCGTTCTTCCGTCTGGATACCACTACGATCATGTACATGTACAGCGATGGCAACTGAAATCTGACCCCTGAGCGGTGCGTTCACATTCTAGCGTCTCTATTTCGTAGTGTTACAACACTGTGTTGGGTCTTGGCCATGTGAGCACACCGCTCAGGGGTCGGATTTCAGTTTCCAGCACTGTACATCCAATCCCTGTATCCGTACTCTTCCCTTATTGGCCACAGGCTATCATGACAATAGAAACAAAACAACAGCACATGCACCGGGGACACTATGACATCAACAATTCACAAATGGATATCAAAACAATGGACCGGTAGAGGGGGGGGGGGGTACAATGGCCCAGAAAATAGAGCGGAGACAGGGTGAAATAACCCGCAGGGGGGGGGGGGGGTATAATAAAGCATTCCCGGGGGTGGCGCAGTGGGAGAAGCAGGCAGTTCACGGCTGCCTGACAGTACCAGCAGATCCAGCGCAGCGGTTACCTGGTTGGCGTGACAAGGTCCCTGGCAGTACTCGGTTAGCGTGATCAGGCACTGGATGATGAGCGGCACGTTGCGGCTGTTGACGTACAGCCCCAGCAGTCCCATGCCACCGGCCGCACCACCACACACATAGTAGAGAAACTGCAGCGTCTTGCTGACCAGGTTGTAGTTCTGACGAGCGTTGTCCTGCTTGCGAAGGTAATTCTGCCCACACGAATAAGGAAAGCACACACTGTGTTAATACTAGATAAAAATAAAAAAATAAAATAAAATAAAAACACGCGCTAGGGGCAAGAGAATCATGGCTCATGTGTACACATACATTAACGCACTGCAACAAGCTCAAGTGTTTTCCGGATAACAAACCATACTTTAATGTTTAAACACGCACAATTCACCTCCCCAAAGAAGTCAGTGTGTAGTGCAATGTTATCGCATGAGCTGATTGTAAAGTAACTGGTGGTGTTAGTGGATATTCTAGCGTAACTTGTAGCTCTTTGGTCCTCTTTTATTCTTATAAATTAATCCTTGGCTCTCCACCCGAGTGTGGCCATACTATGATATCCAAATACTAGCAAACGGCAGTACACTATGGAGCTGGTAGTACCTGCAGCAGGTCGTTGTGTGTCTCGCAGAGCAGCTGCAAGAAGCGGAGAATATCCTCCATGTGCGCAATGGCAGGCAGGCTGAGAATGTCCAGGGTACCGCTGGCCGCACCCTGTCCTGTCGGCGCGATCAGCAGGTTTGTGGAGCTTTCGGCTAAAGAATGGAGCAAGCAAGAACAGGAACCCATACAAACACATACACACACACACACACACACACACACACACACACACACACGTGCACGCGCACGAATGTACACGCGCACACATGCACGAATGTACACGCACACACACACACATACGCACACACGCATACAAACACACACACACACACCCATACAAACACACACACACACACAAACACACACCGTTAAGCCAAACAGATTTCGCTTGCAAGAGCAATGCACCACCAGCTGGTCTAGCTTACTGGCCAGCACACCCGGTTCCCTGGGTCTTGTCACTGATTTATGCCTCCTGAGGTATTGGTCTGTTACTCAGCTCTCTTCAGTTTTGAAAAAAGAATTATTACAAACACAATGTGCACGCATGCACATACACGCAGGCCGATGTACCCCCCCCCCCCCCCCCCCCCACATACATATCAAACACCCCCCCCACACAAATCCCCCCCCCCCCCCCCCACACACACACACATATCAAAGACCTCACCCCCCCCCCCCCCCCACCCACACACAAATCCCCCCCCCCCCCCCTACACCCACAAATCAAACACACCCACCCCCACCCCCACACACACACTAACGCATGTTCACCCCGCTCAGCGCACACCATTGAGCGTGTCTTACTTCTCGACTGCCTGCGTTGCAGTCCGGGAGGTCTCTGCTGGCCCGCAGGTGTGACTGCGGGTGTAGACGGCGGTGCCACCTGTATCGTCGGTGCTGTTCCAGGACCACCAGCGGCAGCATCACCACCTGGCGCACCACCACCTACTACCTGATGAGGCTGCCAACAAGACAGCAAGCAGCACGCAAACAGCAGCAGCAGCAACACGCAAACAGTAGCAGCAGCAGCAGCAGCACGCAAGCATTAGCAGCAGCAGCAGCAGCAGCAGCACGCACACAGCAGCAGCAGCAGCAGCAGCAGCACGCAAACACTTCTTTTTTGTATCGTATTATATTTTTTACTTGGGCATTCCGAACAGCCATGCATTTTTCTGATTTCTTCTCCAGTGTATGTTGTATTGCATTTTAATCCATTGTGCTAATTTTTGCCCCTAAAAGAGGCTTGCTTGTACTGCATTCCCAACAGACCCTAATGTCTTCTTACAGGGTGCCCAAGACACGTGACACAAACCACCCAAAAATCGGCACAACAGCAGACAAGGCCAATCTCTAAAACGGTGCACACGTCTTGTCAGAGTAGTGCGTACTAGCTGAGCTCCACACTCCACAGTCCACAGTCCACAGTCCACACTCCCACTCCACACTCCACACTCCACACTCCACACTCCACACCCCACACTCCACACTCCACACTCCACACTCCACACTCCCACTCCACACCCCACACCCCACACCCCACACTCCACACCCCACACCCCACACCCCACACCCCACACCCCACACTCCACACCCCACACCCCACACCCCACACCCCACACCCCACACTCCACACTCCACACCCCACACCCCACACTCCACACTCCACACCCCACACCCCACACTCCACACTCCACACTCCACACCCCACACCCCACACTCCACACCCCACACTCCACACCCCACACTCCACACCCCACAGTCCACACCCCACACTCCACACTCCACACTCCACACCCCACACCCCGCACTCCACACTCCACACTCCACACCCCACACCCCACACTCCACACCCCACACCCCACACCCCACACCCCACACTCCACACCCCACACTCCACACCCCACACTCCACACCCCACACTCCCACTCCACACCCCACACCCCACACTCCACACCCCACACTCCACACCCCACACCCCACACTCCACACCCCACACCCCACACCCCACACTCCACACCCCACACTCCACACCCCACACTCCACACCCCACACTCCACACTCCACACTCCACACCCCACACTCCACACCCCACACCCCACACTCCACACCCCACACCCCACACTCCACACTCCACACCCCACACTCCACACTCCACACCCCACACTCCACACTCCACACCCCACACTCCACACCCCACACTCCACACTCCACACTCCACACTCCACACCCCACACCCCACACTCCACACCCCACACTCCACACCCCACACCCCACACTCCACACCCCACACTCCACACTCCACACTCCACACTCCACACTCCCACTCCACACCCCACACCCCACACTCCACACCCCACACCCCACACCCCACACCCCACAGTCCACACCCCACACCCCACACTCCACACCCCACACCCCACACCCCACACCCCACACCCCACACTCCACACTCCACACCCCACACCCCACACTCCACACCCCACACCCCACACTCCACACTCCACACCCCACACTCCACACCCCACACTCCACACCCCACACTCCACACCCCACACTCCACACCCCACAGTCCACACCCCACACTCCACACTCCACACCCCACACTCCACACTCCACACTCCACACCCCACACCCCACACCCCACACTCCACACTCCACACTCCACACCCCACACTCCACACTCCACACCCCACACTCCACACCCCACACTCCCACTCCACACCCCACACCCCACACTCCACACCCCACACTCCACACCCCACACCCCACACCCCACACTCCACACCCCACACTCCACACCCCACACTCCACACCCCACACTCCCACTCCACACCCCACACTCCACACTCCACACCCCACACCCCACACTCCACAGTCCACACTCCACACCCCACACTCCACACCCCACACTCCACACCCCACACTCCACACCCCACACTCCACACCCCACACTCCACACTCCACACCCCACACTCCACACCCCACACTCCACACTCCACACCCCACACTCCACACCCCACACTCCACACTCCACACCCCACACTCCACACCCCACACTCCACACTCCACACTCCACACCCCACACTCCACACCCCACACCCCACACCCCACACTCCACACCCCACACCCCACACTCCACACTCCACACTCCACACTCCACACCCCACACCCCACACTCCACACCCCACACTCCACACCCCACACTCCACACCCCACACCCCACACTCCACACTCCACACCCCACACTCCACACCCCACACTCCACACTCCACACCCCACACTCCACACTCCACACCCCACACTCCACACTCCACACCCCACACTCCACACTCCACACCCCACACTCCACACCCCACACTCCACACTCCACACTCCACACCCCACACTCCACACTCCACACCCCACACTCCACACCCCACACTCCACACCCCACACTCCACACTCCACACCCCACACTCCACACCCCACACTCCACACTCCACACCCCACACTCCACACCCCACACTCCACACCCCACACTCCACACTCCACACTCCACACTCCACACTCCACACTCCACACCCCACACTCCACACTCCACACTCCACACTCCACACTCCACACTCCACACCCCACACTCCACACCCCACACCCCACACTCCACACTCCACACCCCACACTCCACACTCCACACTCCACACCCCACACTCCACACCCCATGTCGTGATTACATCACGAAGTTGTACATAATATCACGTGTATGTTTGTGTGACGTTATCGTCCACGTAGCATTAGCCCTTTTGTTTGTTTTGATGGCTTTATGGTTTTACCCAGCTTCTTGATGATTAGAGATTAGAGTAAGTCATGTAGTACTGAATGAGAATTAATCCCAGTCCTTATGAAGTTAGTTATGTTGTGGAACTAAGAGAGTCTAGACTCTAGTCACAACATAAATTGGTGCCGAAACCATGTCCGAGTATCCAGGGAGTCTCCGAGTTTTAGCAAATAAAATCAGTGCATTGTATTCTACTGTCCACGATGACGATACGAAGTGCCAACGTTTAGTTTCAGAAAGTTGTCCATCTGACGACGCAGACCAGTGGGTCGGGATTCGGACCCAGTTTTGTGAACAGCATAGAGATGCCCTCACGAAGTTGGATGCTGACCTAGATAAGTACGGCGCTGCGTTATACGATTTCGTGGCTAGTGGAGCAACTCAAAAAAAGAAAAAGAAAGAAGATGAAGAAGAGTATGAAAGTATGGCCAGTACGTTACCGTCGTACTTCAAAAATCTGTCCCTGCTGAGTGCTCAAGCCAAAAGGGCCACAGCCAACACCAGTACCAGCAGTCAAGCACCTGGAATTGACGTCCAGCAGCTGCTGACAATGCACACCGCAACTCAGCAACAAACACAGCAGTTGCTGTCAGCCATTGGGAAGCACACTAGCACGGTTGGCCAGCTGGCGGCCAACTCGGCACAGCCTGCACAGAGTGCTCATGGATCTGTAAAATTGCCCGTGCTCACAATCAGGAAGTTTGATGGTGACATACTTCATTTCACTGAGTTCATTGACATGTTTCAATCTGCGATCGGTACAAATCAAAGCCTGTCTGCCGTACAGAAACTGTCGTATTTGAGAAGTCATTTGACAGGCATGGCCCTGGATGTTATTGCCGGTATTCCCACCACCGATTCAAATTACCCCGTGGCGTTAGGATTATTGAAGGATCGCTTTGGCAAGAAGGATGCCATCATCGCAGCCCGATACCGCGCAATTACCGAAATGCCAGCGCCATCAAATAAACCTCACATGTTGCGGAGATTTTACAACGAGGTGGAGGCTAATTTGCGCTGTTTGCAAGCGGAAGGTCAAAGTGTGCAACAGGAACTGCTGATTCCTGTCATCACTTCCAAGTTACCAAAGTGCGTCATCGTACAACTTGAGACACAGAAACCCCACAATCAGAGTTGGACTGTTGATGAGCTGCGGAAACAGCTGGGAATCTACCTGGAGGTCCGTGAATCGGCCGAGCGACTGGCAGGAGACACAGCCAGCAAACCAGAGAGCACTCTGCCACGACCACCGCCTGTTTCCGCACAGCCTCATGCTGCCTACTCCCAACCTCCGGCCACGGCAGCCACGTTAGTTAGCTCTGTGCGGCGCGCCACTCCGAGATGCTTCTTCTGCAAGTTGCAACACTTCTCGGACACCTGCCCAACGTTCAACACGGTTTCTACCAGACAGCAGCAGCTACAAGACCACTGCTTTGTATGCTTACGGAAGGGACATTGGGCAAAGGACTGTACTGCTAGAAGACCCTGCTATCACTGCAATCTGTTGACCCATCACCGTGCCCTGTGCCCTCAGAAATTTGGCTCATCACCAGTGTCAGCTGCCGCAAGTACCTTCTATCCTACTCAGCAGCAGCAAGGGCCACAGAAACATACTACCGCTACGGTGCACGTCCAGTCCAAAGGTGTGAATCTCCCAACCGCCATCGCAACTGTCGCCGGGCAAGGCAACATCTCAGACTGCCGACTGTTGTTTGACACCGGCTCAACTCGCACATTTATTCATGAATCGTTAGCTGCCTCTGTCAACGCAGCTGTTGTCGGTGAAGACGTGTTGTCCATCGCTAGTTTTGGATCTGCGTCCCGGCGAACGGTCACCCTGCCGAGAGTGGAGTTTTCCCTCCTATGTCGAGATGGATCAGCCTTGCCCGTAACCGCCAATGTTATGCCGTGGATTTGTTGTCCTGTTGTCAAATCCCCAATCGACATCGACCAGTACCCTGAAGTCAAGAACATCCAACTAGCTGACACCATTGTCACCAAGCGTGAGGAGGTAGAAATTGACCTCCTTATCGGCACGGATTTCTACTTCTCCATCATGGGTAACGGTCACATCCAACTCAACAATGGCCTGGTCTTGCTGAACTCCAAATTGGGATTTGTCCCAGCAGGCCCTACTGACACAGAGA